AAGTGCATATTATCTAATTATCTTATTCTAAGAGTAAAATTACTCATTCCATTGGCAAACTTTCTCATTTACCTGCTCAGATTAAGGGTGAATACACTTAATTAAGGATATTTTTACTTATTTCTAGATCGTTTTTGCAGTGTGAAAAACATATTAAACATTAAACTTGATGATTAAAGCAGGTAAAAAAAATTTTTTGTCTTTTTACTAAAAGAAAATGTTTATTTTAAAGGTTGTTTTAACACATTTATACGATATGCAGGTCATTCTAATCCACTTTCACACTTTGCTGCAGATCAGTGCTAATAGTGTAACATTGGGAACCAGTTAAGCCCTAAAACTGCCGTACGTGTCGACATCCATAATAAAACTTTGTGATTTGATTTCAGAGTTAAATCTTTTTTTTTCCAAACTTATTGAAGTTTTTACTGCGTTTTAGTTTGTAGCTTTTAAAGCTGCAGCAGGACGTCACAGAAACCACCACCTTTGTGTCACAATCAGCGCAGCAGGTCGGACACCTTTTATGGAGCTCTACTTCCACTCATCTAATAAAATAATCATTCACGGCCGGGAACCAATGCAGCACATTTAACCCCTGCAGCGTCCTAAACTCAAAGGAAACATCAGAGTCTAAAATGTTCCTTTATGCTAATTGAGAATGAGCAGATTGTTAGATTTTATTGGAAAGTTTCAGATTAATAAAAATATGTTAAAAGGTTAAACTTTTAAATTTAACATTAAAGAGAACAAGCATGTTTAACAGTTCTAAGAATAATCTTTTTTTTATGGTAACCTGCACTGGAAAAACCATCTAGAAATAAGTACAATATCTTGAAATGAAGCATATTTACCCTTAATTTGAGCAGGAAAATGTGACAGTTTGCCGATGGAATTAGTATTTCCACTCTTAAAATAAGATAATTAGATATTATGCACTTGAAATAAGACAATGCTATTATTTTTTTCTTATTTTAAATGTAAATCATCTTGTTCTATGGCTAAAGAGTCTCACTTTCCTTCTCATTTTAAGAAAAAATGACTTATTTAGATTGTAATTTTTAGCAGTGTGGTTGCAATCTGATGCTAACAGTTAAATATTTTGTATGTGTTTGAGCTTGGTTTATTTCCCAGAAAATAATATCAATAATTGCTCTTAAACTCAGACTTTTAAACATGGGAATTTTTTTCCAGATTCCCCAAAATCTATAAGAAAAAATCTATAAGAAATCTGTTCGAGATGATGATGTTCTTTATAGGGCCCCCCAAATCTGCTTAGGGCCCCAAAAAACCTTTGTCCAGCCATGATTACAAACCAGATCTCTGTTTAATATCAGGAGTAATTGTTAAATATCTTAGAATATATATAAAACAATAAAGAGTTTTTTTGGTATAACTCTTAATAAATGAACCACTTTGATTTCCAAGCTATTTTTACATTTCTCATATTTAATGAAGGGGGATTTTTTTATTTCTGCAGCAGCAAGTTATTAATCTAACTGATTAATAAATGACCGAAATGATGTGTGAAAAGGACTAAAGATCATCTCTCCTCATATATGTGACTTTTTTTTTTTTTTACTGGGAAATCCTCTCCCAGAATGTCAGAATGCAGATCAACACGGTTTGACTGTCATGGCCGCCGATGCACTGAGACATTTCTGCAGCCTGTTTGTCTTTGACTCATTTTATTTCAGCTTTTTATTATTATCTACACTGCAAAACTATCTAAAAACAGACGTGTCTAACGTATTCATATTTATTCCTCCAGTATAAATCCTGCTGTTTAAAAACACTTTTTTAGAAGTTAGAAGATCAACTTCAGCTTTTTACTCCAGTAAAAGTGTAAAAGTATCATTTTTAACACTACGAAAAACTGTGAAGGCCAGAAGCTTTACTGCTCTACCGTATTAAAGGAACATTTTTCTATAATTCTGGATGATAACTTCACAAAGAAATGCATTTTTTTTTATGGTTTTTATTTTTTTTAATACCAACAGTTCATAATGAAAATGAGCCTAAATGAAAACATAATTCCTTTGGTAAAATATAGAAGCTGAAATTTCTAAGTATTTGTTCTTTGTTACTTGACACCTCTGTCTAAAAATAAGTAAGAATTCTTAAAATGCGTATATTTACCCTGAAGTTGAGTAAATTAGATGATCTGCAAAAGGAATGACTATGTTTACTTTTAAAATAAGATAATTAGATATTATGAACTTGAAATAAGTCAAAGTTCTTGTTTTTTTCTTATTTTAAATGTAAATTGTTTGATTTCTTTGGCAAAATGTCTCGCCTGCTTAATTCAAGAAAAAATGCTTTTACTGAAGAAAAATCAACTTTAAATTTTGCAGCGCAGGACATAGATCAACAAAAGTAGTTTACACCCTGGAAAAACCATCTAGAAATAAGGAAAAAATAGTTACATTAAGTGTATTTACCCTTAATATTAGTAGGTAAATAAGATGATCCGCCAATTAAATGAGTAGTTTTACTCTTAAAATAAGATATTTAGATAAAATGCACTTGAAATTAAATAATGCAATTGTGTTTTCTTATTTTAAATGTTAATTCTCTTGTTCCAACGGCAAAATGTTTCTTATCTCCTCAATTTAAGAACAAATGCACTTATTTTAAGAAATAAATGACTTATCTAGATTTAGATTTTTTCCAATGCAAATGTGAATTAATCTTTAAAGTATCCGCATCTATCCTCCACATCTATATTTCTTAATTTGTTTGAGCAAAAACTTGGTCTGACTGATCAGAGAACATCTTTTAACAGAAAGTTTAATATCTAGATGGATTAAAGCCTGAATTAAAACAGGTCCATTTAGGACTAATTAGCTGCAGACAGAGAAGATGATTTAGATGGTTGCATTAAGTCATAAACATTGTGACCTGTAGGGTGTTTTTGCAGCCAAGTCAGGCCCTCAAACATTAAACATGCAGACGCTGATAGAAGCCTTAAGATCAACATCCAGAGTAGCAAAGGACATCAGAATGAAAACTATCGAGACTTTAAGTCCTTCCTGCACAGCTGTGTTGAGACAGACTGAGATGCATCGTCAAACTGCAAAAAATTTAAATCTAAATAAGTCATTTTTCCTTAAAATTAGTGCATTTGTTCTTGAATTGAGGAGGTAAGTGAGACACTTTGCCAATGGAACAAGACAATTTACATTTAAAATAAGAAAAAACTATTGAATTGTCTTATTTCAAGTGCAAATGATCTAATTATCTTATTCTAAGAGTAAAAATACTCATTCCAATGGCAGATCATGGTATTTACGCGCTCAAATGAAGGGTAACAAATGTTCCCTGCTTTCTGGATGGTTTTTGCAGCGCATGTTAAATCCATGCCAGGTTTTTCAGCATACCGAAGTTGGGTCCAGGTTTTCCCTGCAGCAGCAGTGAGGCCTCCTCTTCCTGCTGATTTACTGCAAAAATAACTTGGAGGCTCTTTGTGAACATCTTGGTTCTGCTTTTGTCTGCGAGCGGATTGACATCAGAGCAGGAAGCTTCATCATGTAAAGAAGAGGAAACTTCTTCAGGTTGTTTTAACTTTTCTTCTTTGTTTCAGTTTCAGCTTCATGTAATGTTGCTGATGATGCACTGGAGATAAAACTGAGGTTTTAGGAAAGTTTTCCAACTCATTTTCAGTCACTTCAACCTGAACCTTTATTTGTTTATTGCTAAATCTGCATCTTTTATGCATCTCACTGCAGCAAACAGTAAAGAGGTCAAAGTTCACAGCCTCTAGAATTGATCCATTGTCTTATAATGATGTTAAAGAACAAATGCTTGATTTTTGTCACATTTAAACCTTCATATTATCTAATAAAACGTACATTTAGGTAAAGATAAGCAAATTAAAAACAAAAAGCTTTTTTAAATGAGTATTTACTGAAGGGGAAAGGTTTTCCAGGTCAGAATGGACATCAGTTTGTTTAACTGCATTTATTGAGTCACACCAAGTAAAGCTTCTGACTGACAGACCTGCTGAATCAGAAAATCCATCCAACTGAACCCGTCTGGCAACAGGAAGTAGAAAATGTTTGGAAACAATCATTGATTTAGTTCTGGGACTGAATCATAACGAGATCAGCGCACTGGGAAAAATCTAAATCTAGATAAGTCATTATTTCTTAAAATAAGTGACTTTGTTCTTGGATTGAGGAGATAAGAGACATTCTGTCAATGAAACGAGACAATTTACATTTAAAATAAGAAAAAAACGGTTGCATTGTCTTATTTCAAGTGCATATTATCTAATTATGTTATTTTAAGAGTATAAATACTCATTCCAATGGCAAATTATCTAATTTACCTGCCTAAATTAAGGGTAAATATGCTTAATTTAAGAAATTTTTATTTATTTCCAGATTTTAGCAGTGTATATATCCCATGCACCTTCTTCTTCTCCTTTGACCATCTGAGCTGATGTAACGAGTACATTTCTTCACTGTGAGATCAATAAAGTCAATCAATAAAACTCTGATTGATGATTCAACAGTAAAATATAAACTAGGTAACAATTATTTGGGAGAAAAAACCAACCAAGACCAGAAAGAAAAACAAAGAACTCTCTGTTTAGGGGCGGAGTTATATGGGGGGCCAGAGGTGGCCATGGCCACCCTTAGCCAATCATTGGCCACCCCTGTAGCCACTCCTACCATTTTTCACTCTAATACAGATGGTGGCTGTAGTAATACTCTCAAGTGGAATGTTTTAACTTTATTAACATTTAAATCTTTCACATATTAACAGGTTCTTGACAACAAAAACACTGTGATTAATTACTAACATACAAAGATACAGAATAAATGCCCTTTTCAGAACCAGAGCCCCCTCAGTGTACATTGGTCATTGCCTGGCCATCAACATTTTCTGGCTGCACCTCCGTCTCTGTTTGACAAAAAACATCCTGGATGATTCCAAATAAAATAAAAAATCAATCCACTGGACTTTAAAGACGTTTCTCTTCCATCCAGGAAGCTTTTTCAGAAATAGCGTTGAGTTCCAGGTCCAAAGGGGGGGACCCGTTCATCCGTTTCTATTTGCATGTTTTCTAAACTAAAACCAGGCTTTGTTGGGCTGCTGGATAAAACCTGGAACTAAACGCTATTTCTGACATTTTGAATCGAAAAATCTTCTTGGATGGAAGAGAAACGTCTTCAAACGAGGAAACAAAGTCCAGAGGATTGATTTTAAGTTTTTGGAGTGACTCTGACCTGGATGACTGAGAATCTCCACCAGCATCCTGGATGATCAACTGGATGTTTGGGGAAACCTGTGGAGCCAAGAGTAACGTGTTTAAAAGGTCTCCAGACTCTGAGGATCTAAATAGAATGTAGATGTTGGATAAAAGACATGATATGATAGTAGAACGTGTTGATTGAGTTGTAATGATGAGCTTTAACAGCGTTCCTTCCTCTGGACTTTGGTAAATTGATGATGCATTCAATTCTCAACCAGAAAAGAAGAACATCTGCTCATCAGTTTGTCACCTTAAGCTAGAAAACACAACAAAACATTGATCCAAAACCCATTTCTGCAAAAAAAAAAAAAAATGTAAAAAATGTTTCAGGTGTGGCCTAGTCAAATCCTCCTGAGATGTGGGGGTTCCAGAGCAAATAACTGAAATATCAATAAGTATATTTTACTTAACCTCTTAACATCCTCATTTTGGGTAATCCTCGCCTATTCTGCATTCTCAAATGGAAAAGCAAATAACTCAGGGACTGTGAGCCCAAATTATACGTGCAATACATTATTTGAAAGCTACACCTTCTAGTTTCTGAATATATAAATTAAAATTGGGTGAGTAGAACACAGACCAACCTGCATCAGTTAAAAAATGACTCAAACTTATTTATTTTTTTAATACTTTTTTTAACAGCAGTACTAAAGACAAGCAGGTTTTATTGTATTATATTTGTTCTACATCATGTCAACCACAACAGCAGAAAATGTCAGACCTCTAGCTGCAACAGTTCCAGAGCTGTGGGGTTTGGATCTTTTGGTGTCAGCTTGGAGCTGTGCGCAACGGCTCCACCTGCTGGTAAAAATTTTACCCGTGGAATTTTATGCATTCTGAGTTATAAGAAGACTAAATAAACTTAATTTAAGACCTTTTTACTTATATCTAGATTGTTTTTGCAGTGTCGACCTAAACAGAAACCCTCCAGTGTATCAGAGTTATTTAGTTCTATAGATCTGCTCTCATTTAAATCATTTCTTTACTTTAATGACTTATTACCAGTTTCACCAACATAAAATGGCTTTTTGAAGCAGGTTTAAGGATCAGATATGTGATCCCAGTGGGTCAGGCTGGTTTGGATGGTTTTTCCTTCATAGATAAATAAAAAAGGATTAATTAGGAGAAAAAATAAAGGAAGCTTTTTTATTTTATAAAAAATGTAGGTTTTCTTTGATTATTTTAGTCAGAAACATTAAGAAGAAAAAGGCTGAAACAGATAAAACCTTTTTGTCATTAACTGCGTTTTCTCCCCCTGATGAAGCGACAGTGAGAAGAAAAACCTGCATCATGTCCCGTAACTCCGACCCGTACATCTTCACCACCGACACCCTCCCCAGCGACCTGCGTTTCCTCCCTCCGCTTGCAAATGGCCTCCTGGGCTGGAAGGTGTTCAGCAGCGTCATGCACATGGGTGGAGTTTATAACGGGGAGGCTGGACACTGCCACCGCGCCGACGTCCCCTGTCCTCTGGCTGTGAAGATGGAGGCAGAGGACCCCGCCCAACACAGCTACACCCTGGACACCCACACAGGTCATCCATACAGGAAGTGAGCCTCTAGTTCACGCTGAGGATGTTTACCGTCATCTCTTCACCTTCAGGTGTTTTCTGCCACACGCTGAGCTCAGCCACGGGGACCGCCACCCAGTCGCTGTATTCTCATCGCTTTTACCCCAACATCTTGGTGATGGAGGTTCTGTTGGAACGCCACGTGACCTCAGAGGAGGCGGTTACAGTTAATCTGGTCAGCTCATTCACCCCTCAGAGCAAAGACATTCACTTTGAGTCCTGTCCGGACTACAAAGGTGGAAGGTGAGACTGTTGACGTATTTTTACTCTCATTAAAAGACCCTCAGGAGAACGAAGGGGGAATTTGGATTCATTGAAAAAGAAGCAAAAAGAAAGCCGCTGCATCAAGAACACGCGTCATGGGAGCCGCAGGGACTTTAGACATGCAGGATGTGGTTCTTTGACCAGCGTGGCATGAATGTAGTTCTTTCAGAGGCAGATTTCTGACTTATGCAGTGAATACTGCCTCGTTCCAATGTTTGGCGCCGTGGAACGTCTTGTATTAAACATATCCAACCCTTAAAGGTATTGCGGAGGATTTTCTCGAAGTTCTTAAAAGACCCACTTAAAAAAAAAAAAATGCATGTGCGAGAGCGTGCACCAGCCCATTCCTCCTCGTGCACGCTCTGTTTAAAAGTAGCTGTTCTCGTAGCTCATAGCAGCTAACTGTGTCCGTCCACCTTAACCCCTAAATCCCTCCATCACTATAGAGTGGGGACTCTATAGTGAACTTTATAGTGAACTCAGTTAACTGACCGTTCAGGCTGATGATCACTGCTTTTTGCTCCGTTGGTCACTAACTCTGCCTCCACTGCGCGGTGTCTGCGCCATCTTTGCTATTAGTCGCCGCTGTCGGGTAGCGACAGCCTATGGCGACAGGCGGCAGCCGTGACAGTAATTCCCATAATGCTTTGCGAGGAGAGCTCTCTACGCAAAGCATTCTGGGATATATCTGCCCTTCTGAGGCCTTTCTTTTCTTCTCATACACTTCGTAGACGCATTTTCTCTTCCGACCCTCGGCCATTTTCAAAGAAAGGCGGTGAGAAAGGTGAGCTTCAATGACTGTCTGAAACTGTAGCTCTACACAGATCTACGCCTGAAAGTGCGCAGAAAAAGATTGCTTAAGCCGAGCATACACTGTACGATATTTTGAATCGCTACAGCTCCCACCGTACGACGAAACCACTGCGTTTAAAAGTTCTCAGCTCACGATGTTTGTTCTCTCACTGTGCGACCCGACGCTCTGATGCGATCTACCTGCTCACGCTCTACGTCTAAAAACCAGGTGGGACTCAGCTCCGCAGTAAGATGGCGCTACTCGGACTCGTCTATCAGGAAGCCAAACCAGTAGCAGAGGAACATGAAGCTCACTAGAGTGAAACGCGCTGCTTGGATATTTGGGCCATCAAGCTGAAAGTCGGCCCGACTGAAAGATTCTCGCCCGAAAAGGACAAAAACATCGTACAGTGTATGAGCGGCTTGACGGGG